CAGGAGGGGGGCATGGTCAGATCCAATTCGAGGAAGGTGCGTTACAACCGTGGTCGCAAACACCCTCGTCCACGCCTCTGAGTAGAGAGCGCAGTCGAGCCTCTCCTTGACTCCGGCCCTCTCCCACGTAAAGGGAGCCTCTTCGTAACCAGCATCGATGAGCTCACAATCCGATACAGCATGCGAGAAATCTAAGATCTCCGCAGAGTGGTCCGATATACCACCAATGCGTTCATCGGGATGCAAGAATATGTTGAAATCACCGCTAATCATCCACGGTAATCCTCCATACTCTCATCAATCTCACGCATGGTGTCCCAGAGGTCATAGCGACCAACCCTCATACAGCTGGCGTAAACCAAAGTGTGGAAGATCGGCTCCGAAAGATGGGCGGTGGTGAGCTTCACGTGCAAGACTTGATCAGTCTCTCGTAGGATTTGACAAGTAAAGTCACGCGAATGGAAAAACCAAATCTTGTTAGAGGTGTTTTCCATCCCGACATGAAAACCAAGGCGTCCAAATATACGTCAAAAGAAGGGTCACGAGTCATAGGCTCTAAGAAAGCCACAAAGTCAAGGTTATGCTCACGAATGAGAGATCTAACATGAGCAAGGGTGGTCCTATTAGCCAGTCCACGGGCATTCCATGTAAGCGATGTGACTGACATGTCAAACGTCAGTGGGACCGCCTAACTGGAGCTGTCTGTGGTTAGGCTGTGTCTGTATGTCTGGTAGGATCAGAGCTCGGCTAGCAGAGAGCTGCGCAGTCATCGATCTGGTCTGTGGTCTCTGGTGCTCTGGGATCTCCTGGGAAGGTCCCCCTCGGATAGGGGGAAACTCCTGGGGTAAGAGGATGAGCTGTAGGTGCTCCAATCCCTCGGAGCTCTGCGCCTGTCTCTGTGGGGAAGACGGATCAGACCCGCTAGCGGGGGATGAGGGGAAAGAGGAAGGGAAGGTCAGAAGGGGTCGAGCTGGAGGGCAAGGGAGTGAGGTAAGGTGGGGGGAGGGCTCAACGATCATGAGAGCTAAGGAGGAAGGGGGAGCCTCGATACACAATGGGATGGCGGGAGACTCTATCTCCTCCACTAATAGGTCATCATCATCAAAAGGGGAGCTGGTCGATGCTCCCAAATGGTCGGAGGAAATGTGAAGCTCCTTCTCTCACTCTGAGTCAAGCACAGAGAAGTGGGAATGGGTAGCTACGGGAGTTGACTGGAGGGATTTGTGGGGGAAAAGGCCTGTAGCTTTGGCGTTAGGCCTATCTAGGTTAACCACCTTGGGCTGTGTGCCCTCAAAGGTGGCCTTGCCCTTGCCCTTTTGTCCCTTCAGATCGGGGCCGTGGGCCGGGGCCTTGCCCTTTTCCTTAGGGCTCCTCGGGGCGATGGTAGAACCCTGCCTCGCTATACGTCGACGAGGGGGCAAAGCAGGTCGGGGCTTGTTGCCCTTGGTGTAGCATTCTGCAGCCCCATGTCCTACATGACTGCATAGGGAGCAGAACGGTGGTACTCTCTCGTAGACCACTTTCTGGATAGTGGTCTTGCCCGCCTGGTCGAGCTCAATCTCTTTGATGAGCTCGTCCCTAAGGTCAATCTCTACGCACACCCGTGCGACAGAAAGTCTCGATCGGTTAGCCGTAGCGGCGTCAGTTTCAATGGGGTTGCCAATGCAACTGGCGATCGAGAAGAGGGCAGAAGGATCGAAAAGATGAGGGAGAAGGCCCGGTAGGCTGCACCATACTGGAACAATGGGAGATTCCTCAACAAAAAAGAAATCAGGGGTGTATTTGAACACCCGACCCGAACACCCAAATATATTGAGGTGCGTCATAATCCAAACAGAGTTGTAGTCCTCTCTGAGCTCAAAAATGAGTAAATAGTATAATTAAGAAAC